CTCTCTCTCTCTCTCTCTCTCTCTCTCTCTCTCTCTCTCTCTCTCTCTCTCTCTCTCTCTCATGGTAGGATGGGAAAATCTGGCACGCCTGTGCAGCCCAAAAAACAAAAAAGACTGGGAGGTTGCTTGAAAGCTTGATAATCAGGTAGAAAGAAATGTACAGATTTCGCCATTTCTCCTAAATCTGGAGATTGAAATCTATACATATTGCCTTCCTTTGGAATGAAATGGCGAAAAAAAAAAGGTAAAAAGGAAAAGGCGAACGAAAGAGCGAATGCATCACTTCTCTTGACAATCGAAAAGGCCATAAAGTGGACAGAATCCTGGGCAAGGCAGTTCGTTGCCTCACAAAAACAGGAAAGAGAAGGATAAGGACTGGCTTCTTCTACAGGAAGTCAGCAAAACAGCCTGCAACTGCACTCCAGTGTGTGCCATCTACCCCTCAAGAAGAGCCATAGCATGTGGGGAAACCTCTTCCTCGGATTCTGAAGAAGTGTCTTCTGAACCTGTGTCCGGATCTGGTCCGTGACTCTGGTGTCCCGTTCCCACTGCTGCTTTAACTGGAACCAGCTCCCTTCCAACAGCAAATCTACTCCGGTGCTCCTCTGTGTTCGCACTTTGGCGGCCGATTCCGTGCAACGCTAGACCCGTTTCCTCTGTTGAAGTGTCGTCCTTTCTGTCTGCTGCGAGCGTTCCTTCCCTTGCTCCTTCCATCTTCCTTGCCATGTCATCCTCCATCTTTCTCGCTCGACTCCTCAAACAAATGCCTTGCCTGGCTTCTCCTCCTAGAATTTCCATCCCTGTTTCTCCCAGACGCCCTCCTCCTCCTCCTTTTGCTCCTCCCAGCATTGTTTGCGGTAGCACTCTCATTCCCATAGATTTCCCAGTCTTGGCAGCTCCTGTCTCTCCTACAAACTGCACGTCCTCAAGTTCCGATGGTTCCACTTTCTGAACCAAAGCCCCTTCCTTTCGTCTTCTCGACCTGCTCTCCCCACCACGTCCTCCTCCGCTCAGTGCGCTACCCTGCTCCTCTTCTCCTCTCTCCCCTCCACCCACTCTAGACCCCGCTCTCAGAGTAGGTCTCCTCCTCCCCCCTCGCCGCTCACCAATTGGTCTTTCCTCCACCTCTGCATTTATCTCTGGGATCCCCCTATCTTTCCCCCGTCTAGAAGAAACAGCCTTTACGTTCCCACCCCCCGTGAACCGTCTCCTGTGCGCCGCTCGACCTCTTTCAAGCCGCCTCGGTTTGACCCCATCGTCATACGAGTCGTCGTCTCCGTGATTGCTGACCTGCCTCTTTAGTCCGTGGTTTGCCGCTTCTAGTAACTTCCTCGGCACCCTTGTCTCTCCATCCTCAGAATCAGAGTGCATCCGCGCCTGCAGCTGGTAAAAGGATCCCTCATCTAGCTCAAGGCCTGCATCTCCCAACACTTGGCGCATCCGTTTTGGAAGGTTGTGGTTAGCTGCTTCGGCTGCGGCTGCGGCTCCTGCTTCTATCAATGCCGTGTCGGGCACAAGGAACTCGGGATGATCACCATCAGCAGCATTGCCGGTCGCGTCATCCATCGGCTGCACAGCCAATTCTCCCAATGCTTCAATGGCAGTTGCTGCATTCTGGACTGCAACCCCTTTGTTCCGTCTCCTTGGTCGGCGTGAACCACCCCCTTCATCAGCCCTAAGAAGACAGACACGGGACACAGCCCAGAGGCCGGATTTTGTGCCACACCGATAATGAAATTTGACAGCACCAGACAAGAGACAACGGCGAAGTCAGAATACGAACTCAAGGGGAAATGGACCAATGGTGAAGTTTCATCCACTTTCCCCCCTCCTCCCTCCCCCCCCTTTCCCCTTTTTGAAAGGACCTCCAAAGGAGGACGAAGCTGGGACACCATTGCATGATTGAAGTTAATAAAACCCTGGTTTGACAGCAGGTGGCTGCCCTGTCCTCCCCCCCCCCCCCCCAACCCCAACACAGTTGGCAGCCTCTGTTTTGCAGGATAACAAAATCCTTGTGTTGGGGTTGGGGGGAGAAGGACAAGGGTTTGAGAGCCGATTGCTCCCTTGCGAAGCTCGAAGGCCGTACCCCCCGATGAAAGCTAATGTTGGCAGTTGAGCAACACTAGTAGGGGAAATGCAGGGCAAATGCCAATACTTTGCTCCAAGTTTTCGTGCGATCTTTCCAAGGGAGGGAGTGGGACATTGTGATGAACTGTTTTCTGTAATTGTGCGACTTTCTGCGCGACGATGCTTCGGGGGTTGGTTGAGAGGGGCCCGCCCAATTGCATGAATGCCCTCGTTATTTTTGGAAAAGGGGTGGTCCCACGACGGTTGGTAGTTGATCGCGCCTTAGCTAGCGCGGAAAATACCGGTTGCCATAGCTTCTTTCTTGTTCTGCTGTGAGATTTGGGGAATTTTGGCGCGACCATCGTGCGGGAGGAGTCTTTTTGAAACTTTCTTTTTTTGAATTTCAACTGACGTCGAGCCCATGCGGATTCTCCAAACCTCTTTTTGTAATTAGGACTTAAATTAGGCTAGGAATTTGGGTGCATCACAATTTTTGCCTCCAACTACACGGTGCTTCTTGCTTGCGCGCGCTCTGCCGCACTAGGGTCTGTTCTTTGGCTCCTCCGCGCCTTAATCTCAAGCGTAACTGTACCTCTCTTCTTGGTAGAGCGCAACATGAGTTGGTTTGGCTGCATGTGAGGAGGAATTGGCTTTGGTATTCTGCAATCAGCTAGGTGATACTGTCTGTTCTGGCGGCCATTCAAGGCTGAAGAGGCTGATCTTTCATGATTCGCAAGTTCTCAGTTTCTCCAATTTCTCAAAAAAGATGATGTATAAGGGACGCTGGACCCGGTTTCCAGCAGGTGCASCTCCCCACCAATAGAATGGAGCCAACAGGTGGTCTGCTAGGGGTGGGGAAGTATTTCACCATCCCTAGCAGAACCAGCTG